TCAGGTTCAGCTCAGAGGCCATGGTCTGTCTACACCTTATCTAAAATAACAACATTTTACTATTTTAGGTATGTTGAGAAGTTTTCTCAACGCTTGAGATTCTTGTTCCCTAAGTTGGAGTGGTTTCATGTGGCCAGACCATTTGACTTGGGGGAAAAAAGCAAATATCCTGAAACATACATCGTATTTCTTCCAGTTAGTGTTAACTGTAATTGCTAATCATTGTCAAATGAAGAGAGTATAAAAATAACAATTTAATGAGAACCAGTATGTGTCAGGACTGTGTTGTCTGCTTTATTTATGCAACATCCTTGAGTACTTACAACACCAGAAAAGATGAATACGTAGAGATAGAAAAGCCTCATAGGAAAAGGAAAATTTATAGGTGTGAGAAAACAAGTGCAATGGAAAGAACTTGAATTTTGGACAGATATAGACGTGATTTCAAGTCCTGGCTTCACTCCTCCATTCCATGTGACCTTGGCCAGATTTTATACCTCTCTTAAATTTCCTTATTCATAATTGAAAATATAAAATTATATGAGAAAATTACATTGTAATTGCAATGTATAATGTTACCTATCTTTTAGAGACTTTGTAAGGGTTTTTGAAGTGAGCCAAAAAAGCATGTAGCCCTGAAACATGGTAAGCACTCATTAAACCTGAGCCATTCCGTGTGTTACACATAATGATAAAGTGACTTGTTGAAGGTCACATAGTAGTATGGGTGGAATTAGGATTGGCACTCCAGCCCAACTGACTTCAAAGCTTTTGAACTTTCCACTGCATTGCACTGCCTCCCAGCTATAAATTTGAAGTGGTGTTATTCGACTCATGCATGGAAATTGCTCAGTGTATCAAAATACAAAATCTCCAAAGCCAGTCACATGAGGTGAGTCATCTTTGTTGGGCCATGGAAGCCGGGTGCATGTTTCTGGAAGTAAACATGACATACCCAGCATATCTTGTAGCTGATACTTCCATGTAATCCTCAATTTGTCTTTCCTCTGCACGCAGACACTATGGGAAATACTCATGACTTCTAAGTCTAGTTCAGATTCTCTTGGCTGCCAAATTCCAAAACAGGCATAAAATGTGATTTGCACTCTTAGCCTCTCAGGAATCTCTCCGTTACCTCAGAGAATCTGGGCACAGACAGGACTCAGTGTGGAAATTGCCCAACCTCCCCACTACCACTCTCTTGAAAGAGACAGATCAAATCAGCATCTCTCAACTGTGGCTCATGATGTGTCTGTGGCTATGTCAAGAACATTCTCAAACAAGTTATGTTTAATGTATACATTTTAGAGTTGGAGATGAATGGAGAGAACATCTGTATCTACACCCTCATTTTGCAAATGTGAAAATTGAGCCTCAGGGAAGTTAAATAACAAATCCAACACTTCTAGTTTCCAGTCCTTGATCATTTCCCCCACTCTCTATATATATTTTGGGGTAACGAGAGGGAGAGGGACACTTAAACCAGGGTTGCAAGATTTAGCAAATAAAAATACAGGATGCCCAGTTAAATATGAATTTCAGGTAAGTAATAAATACTTTAAAAATATAAACATGTCCCCTGCGATAGTTGGGACAATGTTTGCAACATATTTATACTAAATAATTATCTTTATCTGAAATTCAAATTTAATGGGTATTGGTGTTTTTACCTGGCACCTAGTCCAATCAAATAAGCAATGCCAAATTTCTATTTTCCGAAAATCATTTGAAAGTGTCGTTAGAATCTGGCTTAAGTGCAAAAAAAAAAAAAAAAAAAAAAAAAAAAAAAAAAAAAAAAAAAAAAAAAAAAACTGAGTAAACAGGAAGAACTCAAAATCTCATTAATTAAAGGCGAAAATAATCAATGACTAGAAATGAAGTCAATGAAGCTTAAGAAGAATAAGGAAGAAAGAAGAAGTAAAGGAGGAAGGCAGAAAAAACAGACCCTCTAGAAGCTGATGATCTCTCTGTTATCTGAATCAGCTTGACAAAATAAAGTTCAACCTACTGTCTTTATTCTTCCTGCTCCAATGTTATTTTCCCTGCCACATACAGCCGCCTTCCCCTTCTCTGCTAAAATTGCATTACATTTAAGTTTTAAATTTTAAATCAAAGCCATACATTTAGATGATTTAAAACTCAGAGTACTGAAAAGCTTAGAAAGAAAAGCTCTAGTCCTTTTCCTTACCTTTAGGTTCTTTTGAGGAACCTAAATTAGGGTAGTCAGATTTAGCAAATAAAGATACAAGATGGTCAGTTAAATTTGAATTGCAGGTAAACAATAAACACTTTTAAATATGAACATGTCCCATGCAATAGTTGGGACAACACTTGCAATGTTCTTATACTAAAGAATGATTCTTTATCCAAAATTCACGTTTAACTAAGTATCCTGCATTTCATCTGTCAAACCTAGCCTAAATCAAATAAGCCATGCTAAGATTTCTATCTTCCAAAAATATTTGAAAAACTACTTTTAAACTTCATATATATTTCAAAGGGGACCAGCAGTTCTTGTTTCCCCAGAACTGAGGGGTTTCCTGAGACGCGGGACTGTTAGCGATAAAAACCAAGACAGTCTCAGACAAGTGTGTATTATTCATTGGTCACCTCATTTCTTATGTTAAAGATATTCCATCTCTCTAAACAATGGATCTTATTTTTGCTTATCAGTTTGAGACATTATCATTAATCTCCTACTTTGAGAGGTATCTGTTTTGGTTATTTTTAAACAATTAGTACAAAACCGTTTCCATACAGCACAAGTTCACCAATTTGGCCTAAAAGCCTTTAGAGAGTAGCTTCAGAGAGAATGTGTTTTCTCTAATCAGAGAAAACAAGAATCACGTTGTGTGAGTGTCAAGTTGCCCTTTTATTTTCCCACTGAAATACTTTCCCCCACCTAGGAATCCTTTTAAATTTTCTCAACTTTAATTGCCTTTTCCCCCCACAAAGAAGTCAATTTAAATTAAGCAGAATCCATCACTGTGATAATTTTTTAATGAGTAAAGATAATGTACTCTACAGAAATTGAAATGAGGTGTTCCCAGGATCATTTGTGAAGTCTCACAAAGTCCTCCTAAGAGTCAGCTGAAATTAATGACTCTCAGAGTTTCAGGACCGTCAATACCATATAACTGAGGACTAGGTTTGATGAAAAAAAACACACACACACAATAATAATAGTTATACTTTCCAATTGAGCATTTATCTCCTTTCGTTCCAAGATCCTGAGGAATTTTATAAACATTAATTAAGCTCACAGGTGTGATTTATTAGATTAACTCACTGATAGCCATCAAGGGGTATTTAATAGAGCTGGATTAAAAAGAGGACTAAATTAATGTCCCAGAAAGATTGTCAAGCTGGGGTGGAACCTCCAGTATTGGAGGGAAGGTCAAGAGAAAACATGTGCTCCTTAGCTCAAACTTCTGGAACTAACTCTGGTCTCAATACATAATGACCACCCTTTCATGCTTCCTAATCTCCATTGAAAAATACTCCCTCCACAGCTTATTGAAGCCTCTCTTTATTGCTTCATCCTCATTCTTCTCTTGGGTGTCAAAAACAAACAATGGCTTGTGAAACAGGTGACCTTTAGTTCAACAAAAGAAGTTACTATGCTTTGTGGAAATCTGAACACGTGTTTGGTGATGTTTTTAGGGTAGAAGAGATAGTCATAGCACTGAGCCAAAAACTAGGTTTTATTTTATAGGTTACTTGGGCCCTTTTTGGGTGGAGGGTAGGGTAAGAAAAACATTTTTGGTCCTGTAGCAATGTGTTGCTTTGACAGATTCCTTTGTCTTAAGAAGACAAATGACTGCAAATTAAAAAATAAATTATCAATAATAGTTTTCAATAATAGATTAAGCTTATGGAGATACAAAAAGAATTTCCATTATCTACCCTGTGAGTTGAAGGTTTAGATTAGCAAGGCTAATACAAGGACAGTAAACTAAGTAATGTTTTATTGTCTTGTTTTAGCAAACACTGAATCAAGAGGGATCAAATGTGAGAAAATTGGGGGATTGGAAACCCAACTTCTCATAAAGTATGGGATTCTAAAATAGAACTAGAACCCTAGACTTTAACCTTTTTCCTCCAGGATGAGCAAATTCAATCACCTGACTATACAGATGATAAATTAGAGTTCTGGAGAATTTAAGTTATTTGAATCATTTAAGAAAGCTAATTAGTGGCAGATCCAGGATGGTAGACCATGCCTGTTCCTAATTCCTGTACCGCTGCTGTATAACCACATGGACACATTGACTGTTTCATTCTAACATTGCACTAGCTGAAAGCATTTCAGAGACTGAAACCAGGGGCAAGCTTGCTTATCTGACAGACATAAAACAAGGGGAGCAATTAGTGTAGCTTTCTTGGGAGGGTGACAGTGATTTTTAAAAAACAGCCTATTAAATATGCAAAGCAATGGAGGAAGGCAGCCACACGTCATAGATAATCCAGAAAGAGAATAATTCACCTTTGGATAATAGAATGTGTTCCAATCTATAATGTTTAAGCCAATGTTCGACATCTAAAAGGCTTAGATGGCTACACTCTTAGAAAAAAACAGGTACCAGGAATTACAATATTTAAAGAAACACTAGATTGATCTTGGGAGAAAGATGGAAATAGTAAAGGCCCATGAATAATAGTGTCTGGACTTAAAGAACCCTAAGCAAAAATTCCATCTGCAATCTCCCTGTCAGATAACCATCCAACTACTCATCAACTTCACAAAAATAGGGTGCTCACTAATTTAGGTGGCAGACCTTTCCTTGCCAGGCAGGTTGTATCATTAGAATGTTCTTCATTATGCTGAGCCAATATACTGCTCCCCTATGATTACTGTCGAAGAATAGCTATTGTTCCGTAGTTCAGCCCTAAAATATTTGATGTCTGCTATTTTCCAGATTGTACTGAGTTTTCTCTATTGGTTCTCCTTCCTGCACACTGTCCATGGTCCATTCTCTGTCTTGTATGCCCTAGTAGAGGTCCCACGAAGCTGAACCCTATAGAGAGAAACATGGGCTATATCTTGCCACCTGATTCCCATTTGAGTTTGGTCGAGGGGAAGGACCAAGAGGAACTTGGAGATCAAAAGGAAAAAGAGGTAGGGAATTTCCTTCTTGCTCTTTCCTTGTATCTACATTTTTGGTTGTGTTTATGGCCTTTTGTGACCATGGTTCCTGTCCAGGAGTCCTTCCTCCATGAATCCCTTAACTTGTCTACACCTTTGTAAACCGCCACTACTTTAAAGTCCCTTGAAACATCTAAGCTGGATTCCGTTTCCTGCTAAGACTTTAGTTGATACACAAGTTAAAGAACCATTCTGTTTCTGGAACTTCTCCTCAATTAATATGCTTTTCAGACATTCTCATTATTTTGGTTGCTTCCGTTTGGTAACAGTCTAGTTGTTCAAGTCCTTCCTGAAGAGTTTCACCTGTAGTGTGGGCCAGAGCAATTCAGATTTAATCTATTAGTACATCACTTTAATCTCCCTTGCTAATAATGTCCTTTCTCTATTAAATCATGCTGTATTTTTATTTGTATCTTTTTCTTTTTTTTTTTCAGCTATCTTACACTGGTGCCTCACCTGCAGCTTACATTCAATTCTACTCCTAGACCTTTTTTTTTTCATGTGATTTTTCTATTAAGCCAGGTCTCTCTCATCTTCTATATTTTACTCCTTGTCAGGAGACTGAATTATTTAAAAGGGCTGGCCCTGGTATTAACATGCTGGTCCTGAATGGTGACAGAGCACAAGGGCACACTGTTTTAAAAACACTGTTAGAAAAGAACATTTTAGTTTCTCTTGTCCTAGACTCTGTTCTCAGAGACTGTGTCATAAAATTTTCATGAACATTAACTTCCTTTGACTTCCATGGCCTTGTCTGTCCTGGGCCCTGTATTTTCTTGATTGTCTTGGGTTTTGTTAACTACTTTTCCTTTTTCTCCTTCTTTAGTTTAAGTATTTCCCAACATTCTCTCTAAGGCTTTTATCACTTCTTTGCAGAACCAATAATGCACACCTACCAAAGGGCTACTTTGCACTCCACTGGGTAAGTCACTTTCCGATCAGTCCTCCCAAAAACGATCTGAAATATTTGTGTTCTTACTTGATCAATTAAGAACTTCACCTTCTGCACTAAAGAATCTAAAAAGAGAGAGGTTACCTCATAGAGGTGAGCCAGACCATGTAGATGGTGGGCTTTTAGGGCAGGTGGCCTGGATGATCTGTAATGACCTTTCTGTTTATATCGCTACACAGTAATAAGAGATGAATCTGAAGGAAACACGTTGTACATGTGGATGGCATAGTGGCTTCCCAAGAGGGACACTAAGCTACCTTTATCACTATTACTGACCAGAACTGTCATTTTGTAAGTAGATTTGTCTGAGGGCCTTAATGGTAAGAAATTTGGGCACAGGGTTGATTTCCTATATTTTGTGAGAATAGAAGACTAACATTCCCACCCTAAAGAAAATGTTATTATTTTTACTACACTAATATTTTGTTAAAGAAAGAGGATTACACTGTTATTTACAGTTACTGATCTGTGGATTAATAGGAAACGCTGCCCTTGAAATACAGTAATAACATGTTAGTTACTAAGAAAACTGAGGCCTGAGAGGTAGAGAAATTCTGATGAACATAAACAAATTGGGTATAAGAATGAAAAGCAAATCATTTTTATAGTAAATGCATATGAGCAAACCTAGAATAATATTATTTTCCAATTGTCAATAACTGCCACCTATTGATTAACAGATTTTTATAGAATGTGTTATAAATATATCTTGTCTACTAAAATTGGAAAGCAAAATAGAAGCTCCAAGATTTCAGAATTTCTTAAAAAGAAAATTGGGGGAAGGGGAGAATACACACACACACACACACACACACACACACACACACTCACTCACAAAATAAAACATACTATGCCAAGCCCACACTGTAATTTATCAACTGGGAAGGAAATTGGCATGTCTTTTCCTGCTGATTTATTGGTTAATTCCAACAATTCATTGTAGAAAAGGCCACCAATGAATTACAGTGTGGGAGAAAATTAAGCGGAGCATTTAGAAAGGTGTTTCAGAATATAGCCTTTAGAAACAACTTACATAGCTATTTTATAGCCAGTCCCCAAGCAATTGGTGCATGTGAAATGCCGTATACAGTTACAGAAAATACACCAGAAAATATCATGCATATTGCTTCCCATATTTAGAAGAATATGCCATGTCACATGAAAATTAGACTTCCCCTTTATCTTTAAGCTAGAACCAGATAATATTAGATCTCTCTTACTATTTGTTATAGCAATCATGTTGGAAAGGCAGTAAAAAACATGAACTATGTTAGCAAAGTCAATGATGGACACTCTGCTTTAGTGATAGAGACATTCATCTTTTAGTCTCAAGAGTATAGAAACTTTCATGGGGTGGAACAAAATGCTAAAATCTTGCATTACAAAAATCAGGATACCCCATCCCTAACATGCATCTTGCGTCCCATCCCTAACCCCAAGGATCCAAGGCTAATAGGATAAAGGAATTTCTCCACCAACAATTCCATTTCTAATTTCTCAAATCCAGTTTGATCAGCCAGTTGCCCCTCTTTGTTTTCAAAGGAGAGTCTCTTTAAAATGATTAAAGATCGTTTAATAATTAAAGATGGTTAATTTTAGGTGTCTACTTGGCTGGGTCTTAGTCCCCAGATATTTGGTTAAACATTATTCTAGATGGTTCTCTGAGGTTTTTCTTTGTTTTGTTTTTGTTTCTTTTTTGGATGAGGTTTATCTTTAAACTGGTAAATTCTGAATGAAGTAGATTACCCTCCATAGTGTGGATGGACTTCATCCAATCAGTTGAAGGGCTGAATAGAACAAAAGACTGACCTCCCTGAACAAGAGTGAATTCTGTGGCAGACTGCCTTTAGACTTCAACTGCAACATCAGCTCTCTCCTGGGTCTCCCACATGACAGTGTTTGAACTTGAACTGTAGCATTGACTCTTCCTGGAACTCCATCTGCCAGACCACTGCAGATTTTGGACTTGCCAGTCTCTGTAATCTCATGAGCCAATTCCTTAAAATAAATGTCTCTCTCTAGACACACACATTTTATTGGTTCTGTTTCTCTGGGGAACCCTGACTAATACCATGTGCAAAGTAAATTGTTGTTTAAAACTGTAGAAATTGTGGATGTAATGCATAGTGTTAATGTTGGAAGGCAGGAATAATACATTCTTCATAGTCTTCCTCTTGTTATTATACTTCAGTGGGAAAGTAGGATAAGAGCAAATGCATAGTGAGTACTTACTATGTGCCAGACATTATGCTTATTTATTTACTCATTTGTTTATTTTTAGAGACACCATTGCCTCTCCACAATATCTCTCTGAAAAAGGTATTATCTCTAACCTATAGATAAGAAAAAGGGGACCCAAGGAGATTAAGCTACTTTCCAGTGGTCACATAGCTAGTGTGAATCCTCTGTGGAGATGTCTGGCTCCAAAGTCTATATATATTATGTTTATTTGAGTCAGTGCTTTCTCTATTTTTTATACTATTTTCCCATGTGACATGATAGATACTGCTAGAAGCACATCTATATACTAAAGTGCTCCTTTGTAGAGTGAAAACCACCATTTTTTAGAGCTACTATGCACTAGGCACTGTGCCACTTTTCCTATATCCTCTCTAATCCTCATTTTAACCCTGTCAGCAAGGTAACAGTACTTCCATTTGACACCCAGCGATACTGAGGCTTAGATAAATCATATAACAAGCCCCAGGTTACACAGCCAAGCTGGGGTTCACCCCCAGATTTATCTGATTCCAAATCCATCCTCTTAACTCCTACACTATGCCTCTTGCTCGTTTTCTAAGAATTCTGTGTCAGTGTATACCCATAAATCATAACCCTTGGTTTTCAGACAAAAGAGCTTCCATGTTGTTGATTTTTTTTTCTCACTAGCTCAAGGAAATAGCAGAAGGGTTGCTATGCTGCAGCATGCTATTTTCTGAATGGAAAAGAAAAAAAGAACAGAAGTGTTTCCTAAAGAAAGTACAGAATATGTGCTATAAATTCTAACGTGGTCTTTCTATTGACAGCAGAATCTAGGGTTGGCTGAGCCACAACACTCTAGTTTATGTTGCAGCAGCAGAGGCTTAACAGCAGGACTCCTTCAGTCTTCCTGGTTTGCTCCTACAAAGTGATCAATAAGCATCCTCCTTCTCTTTTTCTGTGCCTTTTGGTTGTGCTTACTTGGCCTAAAAACAAAGAGGGGGAAATAAGCATTTTGTTGGGGGGTTTCTCCTACTTGCCCTGTTTCCTAATCACACCAGGATGTCATTATCCAAAGGCACATACACATCTAGAAAGAAAAGAGAAATAGAATAAAACTTCAAGAAAAAGATACAAAAATGATGCTGCAATAAAGGTGAATTCCTGTGGATGGGCAAAATGTGGATACCCTTTCTGGATGTTTGTAAATGGACAAAGAAACCTGTCTTGCCTCAGAAACTTAGAAGCAACGATGTGCTTCTTGATGTATATGCCTCTGTAGAATTCAGGAAGGTGAGCCCATTTTTTACTGAGGAAGAGTGACAGGAATCTTTCAACCTGGCTTATCATCCCACAATTACAGCAATTTATAGTGTGCTTCTTGCAAGGTCACCTGCACCCACGACCAAACAAAAGCACTCTCTCTGCCTTTGTTTCAAAGCAATCTAATGTGCTTACTGCAACTCAAGTTATCCAGGATATTTTTCAATTAATTTGCAGTCACTTAGACTTAGTATCGCACGAGCTGGCATATATCCCGTTTTTCATTGGCTGGAAACACCCAATTATCTCAATCTCTATGTTTCAGAAGAACTGCTTTTCCTTTTCGTTCTTTTTTTTTTTTTTTTTTTTTTTTTTTTTGAGACAGAGTCCTGCTCTGTCACCAGGCTGGAGTGTAGTGGCATGAACTTGGCTCACTGCAACTTCTGCCTCCCAGGTTCAAGTAATTCTCCTGCCTCAGCCTCCTGAGTAGCTGGAGTATAGACGTGTGCCATCTGTATTTTAGTAGATTTGAGGTTTCACTATGTTGGCCAGGATGGTCTCGATCTCTTAACCTCGTGATCTGCCCGCCTTGGCCTCCCAAAGTGCTAGGATTACAGGCATGAGCCACCATGCCTGGCCCTTTTTCTTTTAAAATCACTTCATTCAGTTTTTCCTTTTCTCTTGAGATAAGGAACTTGCCATGACAAAAAAAAAAAAAAAAAAAAAAAAAAAAAAAAAAAAAAAAAAAAAAGTTGTGATTTTAAGAAGGAGCTTTCCATTCTGACAAGCTGCCTATATTTTTCTATCACTGCCTGAAATTGTCTGAAGCAATTAAAAGCATGGCTAATTCTTCTGAAAGGAGGTTGAAACCTCTGCAGTCAAGAGACTCTTCTGATAGAGCATTGGGCACCAGAGTCTGGACCTTCAACCCCTACTGGGAACATGCAAAGACAGGGAATGAAATTTTTAGGTAAAAAATGCACTCGTGGACATTTATTACAAGAGAAGAGACTAGAATGCTTAGCAGTAGGGCCTTCCCTTCTCCACCCTGGTCTGTCTTCAGTATTTTGCTCTCCACAAAATCTTTTTTTATTACTACTGGTTGCAGTGCCCATCTGGCCTCCCTGTGCTATTGGCTCCAGCTGTAGGGGCTTCTGCTCTGTTTTCCAAAGCACTAAACTCATCTGATCATTTTCCATCTCATAGTGCAGATTCTCAGAGACTCACAAATCCATCATCCTGTTCCCCTTCAGATTTATGGAGAAATGTGTTGTTGAAACACCTCCTTGCTGAGAGGCTTTTTCAATCTATTCGATGCACTGGGGCCACAAGAAAGGTTTTTCTTTTTCTCTTTTCCAGTCCCCATCCCCACCACTGTCCCACCCCACTGTGTCCCTGTCCCTGCCACCATTTCAACGTGGACTCACTTTCTCTGTGATTTTTTTCTGTTATCTTCTCTCAGTACTTTGCGGGGAAGTGTAGCTGCATGGTTTAGAGGCATTATGGAC